AGCAAACAAACGCTGGAGTTAATATTTGATATGCCGATTTTCGCTAATTTTAGACACATTCCAAAATATGCTCCCCATTTTTAACATTAATATATCCGTGAATTTTTAAGTTAAATACAACTGTAATATATCAAAATCTAAGTTAGTCCTTCCTCTATTTAATGCAAGTTATTTCTCTTTAAAAACTTTACTTGTTTAGAAGTTATTACGAATCAAACAGGAGTACTTTTTTTTGGGCCACCCGGTAGCACAAAAAAATATAAAGAAATAAATTTTCTGTGTTGACATCAAGTTATATCAGCACGGCTCTTAGCCAATTAGGCTTGATTTCCAGCCTGCTTTGAGGAATTAGCCAATCAGCGTTCAGAATTTACAAATGCAAAATTATAATATACTTTACTAATATTTATTCGGTCTCACATCAGATAAATTCACAACCCTTTAGACACATAAAAATGCACAAGCTGCTACAGGTCTACAACCAAGTTGTTCCAAATCTATTCACAAGCTATCGACAAGTTGTGTGTTCGCACTGCTTGTTCCCAGTTGTTGTAACAAGTTTGGAACAAGCTGTTAACAACTTGTAACAAGCATGATGGTATTATCAGACTTGTTTCAAGGTTGTTCTAACAAATCCAATACAGTCATGATATAACGAGAATGTTACAAGATTGATGACACAAGGTTGTAATATAGTCTGACTGGCACTCGATAGGTTGAATTTAGACATGCTATAGGATTTATATCAAACAGCTTTAAAGAAGAAAAGATTTTTCTTTGAGACAATTTAGTTATGTACAGTGAGTTACACAATATGCAAAAGATCTCACATCTTGTAGCGAGTCTGCCAACAAGCCGTCAACAAACTGTGTTCACACTGCTTGTTCCAAGTTGTCAACATGTTCGGAACAAACTGCAACAACCTTGTTGATGTTATCAAGGTTGTTCGAACAAGTCCAATACAGTCATGATATAACAATACTGTTACAACCTTGTTGTCAACCTTGTAACACTCTTGTTATATCATGACTGTATCAGTATCAGATTTGTTAGAACAACCTTGTAACACATCTGATAATGCCAAATATTATCATATTGTAATAAGGTTGTCCGAACAAGTCCAATACAGTCATGATATAACAATACTGTTACAACCTTGTGCCATCAACCTTGTAACACTCTTGTTGTGTCATGACTGTATTGGACTTGTCAGAACAACCTCGTAACAAGTCTGATAACGCCATCAAGCTTGTTACAAGTTGTTAACAGCTTGTTCCAAACTTGTTCCAACAACTGGGAACAAGCAGTGCAAACACAACTTGTCGACAGCTTGTGAACAGATTTGTAACAACTTGTTTGCAGACCTGGAACAACTTGTGCGTTTTATGTGTGTAGCTTTTAACAATTTAGCTGGTTTATCTATGCTTAATCTTTGGTAATTATTCGACGTTCAGTTTTACATATATTTGAAGCTTTTATGCGATAAAACTATGTAATCTCATATTAATTTGTTGGTGAACACACAATTATTTTACTCAGTGTAATGCCAGACAATTTCACTTGTTAAGGGGAAGTCTGCCCAATTAGGCACAATACTGGTAATAACAATACTACAGATTAATTCAATCCAATATAAATGAAATCCCAAGACTCTAATAATAAAAGAAACGCGAAGGAATGTTCTTTATCCATAATCTGTATTCTAATTGCAACATTATGTAGCAAATTGTCTCAATTTATTCAAAAAATACGCTTTTATTATAATAATTCAGAATATGTGCAAAATTGTAGCAATTATAGATAACATAATAAAACCAAACTTGTTTGTTATACAATTATACGAGTCACACGCTCAGAAAAGACAACACTTGCTACACTATACCCAAACATAAAAAACACACTTAAGAATTGACGTATTTACATAACATATTGCACAAAAACTATTTACAATTTGAAGTATATGTGTGTTTAAATATGAATTTATACTCACATTGACAATCAGGCCCCCAATGGTCTACACAACAAACGCTTTTATAAGCTTTCCTTCGACACAAATGCACACAACCATAAATATTTGAACCCAAAATGCATCGTCTTAGTCCCATGCCGCTAGTAATTTTTACAGTTCCCAAAGGACAACGTCCGATGATGGCATTAAGCGGACACATAAGGCAATGCGATGTCGGGAATATGTGAAACACCGCTTTGGACGTGATACATTTGCTCGCTGTTTGGCCGTTTGATCCGTTCGCGAAGGTCTCTGAAGTCCAGAAGCAAAGCAGGAATAGAGAAACCAAATACAATAGCTCCATGATTTGAGAAATATCTCGAATCTGACGCATCACAAAACCGTTCTCTTTGTAATGGTTCCTTGTTGCGATGAGTGTTGTCGAGTATTTTCAACTTTCATTTTAATTTCACCCGATTCGCGCGTGTCGAGGGCGAAGAAATGCTCGACGAATGTTCGGCCTTCGTTCAGGGATAATGAGTTGTGGTGACACAGTAGGAATTTTGCATGGGTAGATTCTAAGTTTTGAAGGATTCGTTAGAAATGTTTGAGCCTTTGAGGGAACTAACTCATATTGGCCTCAGTATTGAGAGGCAATTTTTTTCAATGACTCGACTACGCCGCGTGTATTGTTAGTCAAAAACCGAAAATCTGTTCCTCTCAAAATTGCATTGTTTTAGCTTTAACTATTCTCTAGTTTATACAGTTAGCTACCCTTTTTAAATGCTTGCCGGTTGAGAAACATAAAACAGTCAAATATTGTCAATTTAATAAACACAATTATCATATTGATGCTGCGGTAAAAATTGACGCCATATTTATACAGCAACCATAAGCAAAACTTGCTGAACTTCAGACATAATTTCCCGTTTGGCGTACCATCTAAAATCTCTTCATTTTGCATTATTTTACAGATAAAGCACTAAACATACTTTTAAAGTTTGTTTGCCGCTCAAGAGACTTTAAAACTTGAATATAGTCATACCAAATGGAAAAGTATATTCATTACGTCCATTACGACATTAGTTTCAGGGTACCGGGGGTACGCCAATATTCTATTCTACAGGGTGTATCAAAAAAAACTGAACAGATTTAAAATTGGTCTCAATTTCGCAAAACAGCTATTTGTATCCGGGTTTTTATATATATAGCCTCTTTGGGTACTTATAATGTAGAATAATGAGAAAAATTTCTCGAACTCAAATTTTGTTAACCAGGGGGGGGTGTCTTTTGCAACTAACTAAAAATGGCTCGCGCACAAAATTTAAAAGCTGCAATCATATTTTGAGTTAACAGATGGAAAATTTGTCGGGATTTTAATTACTGTACAAAATTTCAGACAATTTGGGTTAGTTTAAGCCCCTTAACTATTCACGCAAAGTTACAATTTTCCCGAAAAATCAGCTATTTGCATGCTTAATTAATGCATTTGCCTAATTTGCATATGTCAGCAATATGCAAATTAGATAAAGGCATTAATTAAGCATGCGAAAGGCTGACTTTTTAGAACAAAATGAATAGTTAAAGGTCTTAAACTAAACCAAATTGTCTGAAATTTTGTACAGCAATTAAAAACCCGACAAATTTTCAATCTATTAACTCAAAATATGATTACAGCTTTTAAATTTTGTGCGCGAGCCATTTTTAATTTGTTGGAAAAGACACACCCCCCTGGTTCACAAAATTTGAGTTCGAGAAATTTTTTTCATTATTTTACATTATAAGTACCCGAAGTAGCTATATATATTAAAAACCAGATACAAATAGGTGTTTTGCGAAATTGAGAGCAATTTCAAATCTGTTCAGTTTTTTTTGATACACCCTGTATAGTACTTCTTTGTTTTTATAAAGCGAGTTCACTCATGCATTTCAGCATCAGTCAGAAATACAAAATCGCCGACAACATTGCAAAAACGCACAAGTTGTTAGAGGTTTGCAAACAAGTTGTTACAAATCTGTTCACAAGCTGTCGACAAGTTGTGTTCGCACTGCTTGTTCCCAGTTGTTGGAACAAGTTTGGAACACGCTGTTAACAACTTGTAACAAGCTTGATGGCATTATCAGACTTGTTACAGGGTTGTTCTAACAAGTCTGATATAGTCATGATATAACAAGAATGTTACAAGGTTGACAACACAAGGTTGTAACAATATTGTTATATCATGACCGTATCGGACTTGTTGGAACAACCTTGCAACAAGTCTGATAATATCAAAAGGTTGTTACAAGTTGTTAACAGCTTGTTCCATACTTGTTCACAACTTGGAACAAGCAGTGCGTGCGAACACAACTTATGACGGCTTGTTGGCAGACTTGCTACAAGATGTGAGATTTTTACGCGTGTATATAGTCGCAAACGAATATCTTCATTGTTCATCCCAAAGTCATAAAGTTATACAAAAACATCGATGTAAATATATGTAGAACCTAGGGCGGAAATGGCTCCAAGAAGGGCAGATTTGCAAATTGGGACTTGGCCTTCCCGTCTCTCCCCAGCGCGCCTAGCATCACGGAAGCGACAGGCAGGAACAAGGCTGGAGTTTCTCGTCTTGCCGTATTCATATATTGCACGATTTTTCCGTCTTAGACAAGAGCTTCCCGTCTCATGGCCAAAAATCATGGACAAGATTCTATTTATTTCGTAATTTGCATATCGCATTGAAATGTACGGCTTCAACTAAAGTCTAAAAACAGTAAATTATATTTATACGCGACGTTGTCAATCGCAAAATCTGAGAATAAAGTAGGTCGTTTGCAACTTGCCTCAATCGCTGGCTGCAAAACAAAGTCTGTCGAAGTATTTCGTGTAATGTGGGCCTGATTTCAGTTACTGCCTACTCTGCATTTTTTAGTTTTTACGACATTTGTATAAACTTAGCTAAACACAGGACGCCGGAACTGGGGGGCAGGGGGGGCGGCTGCCCCCCTTGCCTTTTGCTAGGAGGGGCAGGGGGGGCAAAAGTGCCCTTTTAGTTGTAAAATACTACGTGATAAATCATATTTCCAGTGATGCTTTTTCTGGGAAAATCATGAGATTTAGGTAATTTATAGGCCCAGAGAAACTAAATTAACAAAAATAATTATGAATTTGGTTAAGATTGAGTTAAATTTACAAAAATTTTAGAAAATTTTTGGAATGTAGAAAAATTTTTTAAGTTAACGGAAAATTTTGGTATGTCCGGAAAAATTTTTTGACGCCTAAAATGGTACACTGACCGAAAATTTTTTGGTAAAAAAATTTTCCGGTAGATTTTGAAGTTTTCCTCCTTAGAGGTGCCCTTGGTGTGCGTCTGCCCCCCTTTGCCTTATTGTCGTTCCGGCGTCCCTGGCTAAACAATTCGATTTTTACATAGTAGTATAGGACGAAAGAGCTTTTATTTAGCTTTTCTATGATACCTTTTTTAAATCGTAACGATGAGAAATGGCCAGATACTCGTCAAATAAAAATTGCCGGTCGAAATCACATTCTTCCACCGTTGGGAATTGAAAATACATTAATTATGCAAAGTTAGTCAATCCAAAAGCAACGCGAGCCTGCTGTAAGCTATTTGTTTCGTAAAAGGTTTTGATTGTAAATATTTCGACAGACTTTGTACATGTTCTGCAACCAGCAATTGATGCAAATTGCAAACGACCTACCGTAGAGCATCGCGTAATATAATATAGGCCTGTTTTGTACGTCGAATTTCGGTCGCGTCGAATGCAATTCAAACAATGTATAATGAAGCTTAATGAGGTTTATCATCTCATTATATATTGTCTTAATTGCATTCGACGCGACCAAAATTCGACGTATAAAACAGGCCTTACTGTTTACTGAATATTCCAACGGGTTATGCACCGCTGATATTAAATAGAAAAACTTTATTTACCCACGCGCTAACCCTGTCAACCGAAGCTGATTTCCACAGGGGCGTGCAAGGATCGTGACTAAAACACCACACGAGTACATACGAGTAACATACGAGTAACACACAAGTACATACGAGTACATACGAGTAACATACGAGTACATACGAGTAACATACGAGTACATACGAGTAACATACGAGTACATACGAGTAACATACGAGTACACACGAGTAACATACGAGTAAATACGAGTACATACGAGTAACACGAGTAAAATACGAGTAAAATACGAGAATTAGCACGCTTTCTTTAAAGTTTCTTTCACTTTCACACTTTCACTTTGGCTTCGTATTATGTTCATGTTGTAAATGCCTTATTGACATAGGCGTACGAGACAGGGGGCGGGGGGGGGGGGCAACTGCCCCCAAAATTTTGGAAAACCATGGAAATTCGGGCAAACGCTAGGAAAAATCAAGAAAATTCGGGCAGATTTATGAGAAAATATGTTAAAATCAGGTTATTTCTTTAAAATTCTCCATAAAACATCAGCCCCGTTCTCCTATGTGTTTTGCAAATTTAATACGTCAATTGTACACCTGTTAATACGTTTTCAACAGGGAAATATAAAATACTTAGGGTTCATTATTTATATCGGTTGGGGGGGGGGGCTGGTAAAATAATGGGGGGGGGATATATTTTGTAGGTGTAAAATAAAAAGAGTGGTTTAAATCTTTTGAAGAAGTGTTTTGGGGAGACAATAAAATTTTATAGCATTGATATAAAGAAGATAGTATAGAGATAGTGGCGTAGCCAGCGCAAAAGGCGGGAGCCATTTTAGTGGAGGTCTGGGGGCATGCTCCCCAGAATATTTTGAAATCTAGGGTCCCTGAAATGCGATTTCCTGCATTTTCGGGGTGTGAGTTTGCATAAGTCCGAAAACTGTATAATGCATAAAAGACATGATTTTTCGTGATGGAAAATGATGGGTTAAAATAATGCGAATTGCTTTTAAAACCGAATGATGATTGAAAGTAAATATATTTTACATTTAAAAACCAAAGTAAACCCTTTCTTCTTGGGGCCATATCTACTTACTTAGACAAGATTATACACAATTATATTGTGGATTTAGATTTTATTTCGCACCCCCCCCCCCACCCTGTTGGCTAAATCCTGTCCAGCATCCCCAAGTTGAAGGTCCTCTCTACCCCCTGGTTGTAAAGAGCACACAAAAGAATAGGATGGGAAGAACTACCATACGGCCATACTATGTTCTTCTTAACTTTATTGTTGGAGGGGGGTGAAAAATTTTCAGACTGTTCTAAAGGGGTGGACTACATTTTTAAACACATTAAAAGGGAGGGTCATTTTTATTATGTTGTTTGAATTTTAGAATCCAACAGCTCCTTCCCCCCTCCCCAACCGATAAATAATGAACCCTAAGTATTTTATATTTCCCGGTGTACAATTCACGTATTAAATTTGCAGAACACATAGACTACAGACGTATAAACAACATGGCAAACATGCACTTTCATGTACTACAAAAGCTCTCTGACAGCCTGTGAGCAATATACTACATTTAAACCTTTTCAGAGTCTTAGAACATACAAATCTTTATTCTATATATATTAATTAATTACTTTTTCTACGTCGTGCGAGGCTTCGAAATCCATCAATACGCATGGGAGAACGGGGCTGATGTTTTCTGGGGGGGGGGGTGTTGAAAGTTTGCCTGAATTTTTATGGAGAATTGTAAAGAAATAACCTGATTTTAACATATTTTCTCATAAATCTGCTCGAATTTTCTTGATTTTTCCTAGCGTTTGTCCGAATTTCCATGGTTTTCCACAATTTTGGGGGGCAGTTGCCCCCCCCCCCCTACCCCCTGTCTCGTACGCCTATGTCAATAAGGCATTTACAACATGAACATAATACAAAGCCAAAGTGAAAGTGTGAAAGTGAAAGAAACTTTAAAGAAAGCGTGCTAATTCTCGTATTTTACTCGTATGTACTCGTATTTTACTCGTATGTTACTCGTGTGTACTCGTATGTTACTCGTGTGTACTTGTATGTTACTCGTGTGTTGCTCGTATGTACTTGTATGTTACTCGTATGTACTCGTATGTTACTCGTATGTACTTGTGTGTTACTCGTATGTTACTCGCATGTACTTGTGTGTTACTCGTATGTTACTCGTATGTACTCGATCGTGTGGTGTTTTAGTCACGATCTGAATTTTTAAGTTTAATTATAAAGCAAAATGCACACTCTGCGGACATGTTCATGAGAAAAATTTTTTTGTGTAACGAAATCTACAACACTTGTCAATCATATTGCATGTTGTGTCTAAAAATAACATGTGGGCGTCCCACGGTCTAGACAGGTTTTGTGTCAGGCCCTATTTCAAATTAGGGCCTGAACTTCAGGTTAGAGTGGAAGGGTGTGTATGTTTTCTGAAATTGCCCATTTTACAAAATAAACACAAATTATATTTTTCCAGAACATGACCAGGGAATTTCAAACAATAGTTTCTTCGTTCCATTACCAGCGATAGCTTAACTTAAGTGGGGTAAATGACAAACTTGCAAGGCAAGCTATCATGGTTTCGATGTGGACGGCTCCATTAATAAAAGTTTTTTGGTGAAGTAAAATAGAATAAATGCCTAAATAAAAGAATCCTAAATAATTCAGTATAAATGTGACAGATACTGTTTGGCCGGATACAAGATCGTACCAGATATACTGTAGTTAGTGGTCTACTGGATACTGGTCAGGGAAAAATTATACCGGATACTGATACTAATGGTGGTATTTGGACAATACTTCACTATTTTTCCCAAAATATAGTCAATTGTTTAGCATGTTCTTTATCTCATTATATATTAACAAACATGAATATCTATAACACAGGGCTTGGCAGGTAATCTACAGCACAGAGAAGTTTACATTTCGAAAAGATAAACCTTTGCATGCTTGGAAATTGTCCCTAATTGTTCATAATTTCTAAGTACTCAAAAATGACAAAGTAAACATTGTTTTTCGGTTTCATTGTTCAAATAAAACGTTAAATTTTACTTGATACTAGTCTGCAATTTATCGGATACCGGTATCCGGATCCAGCACATGCCAATAATTCTGTTGAGAAGCACTGGTCACCGTACTAACAACCCTCTCACGAAAATATCTTCCTTTACTAGAAAAAGGAAAATATCCGATTTTGACCCAATTTTTCAACAATTCCTATATGTTAAAAGACAAAGAAAGCCCGACTAGAAAAGTAATAACTACAGAGTTGGATTTTTTCGAAAAAAGGAGTTACAACTGCCGTTGCTATGGCGACAACGACGCTTCAATCTGGCCGATATTTTGGGTTTAAAGTTATTTAGCTTGAAAATAAGGTCGGTTACCCCCATGTTTTATTTCATAACAATAACTCGTTTACCATTTTGAATTGTATTGTTTTGAACAAAGTTTATAGACTTAGAAATCATTGATCCATTAATGCAAGTCCCATCGCCCGATAAAAAGTGACTATCAACTTGGAGATTGATCCTTTCCACCACAACGCAATACAGTCACGAAACAAGAAATACCATATTATGGGCGTGTGACTACCTGTATAATATGCATCCTTGTCAGGCTCCCATGCATGGTGAGAGGGCCAAGTGTCATGTCACTTGGCGTGGCTCAATAGAGGAACACGCAATAGAGTAACACGCAATAGAGGAACACGCAATAGAGGAACACACAATCGTTAAGCTTTCCTCTATCTTGTTCAATCTCCGGCCTTGTGTTGTGGTTTTATCTTCCCTCCCACATCCTTATTTCTCCTCTTGCCACTTCAAGACCTAGGTCCCAGATTATGTCTTTGTGAACTTAAAATATCAATCAGTCTAGTCCCTTGGTCCAACATGGGTTTAAGTTCAGTTAAGTGCAGTACAAACTGGTTCGCTTCAAATACATAAGTTGGAATGATCATAATTGCACGATTGATACTACTGTAAATAATCTGAAATCCGCTGCTTTCGCAACTCATAATGTCACTTGAGTGAACGACAATTTATATATACCCATGCCCGCGGTCCCAATCCCCAAAATTGGAAAGACATGTTTAATACATAACCTTAAACTTTAATTAAGTAAACACAAACATGTTAATTACCATATTAATAATATACATAAAAATATTACTCGACTGCGATTGGTTGATTTCAGTGCAGTTAATCCCAAACAACTGTGCAATTTTCTGTAATGACAAGTGCAATTTTTTGTAATCACAGTGCAAAAATCTGTAACAAACTGATTTGATTGGTGGAAAAACATTGTGATGGTAAAATCAACCAATCAGTTTAAAGCAGTTTACTTTAAAGAAGTAACGGTCACAGATTGCTTCAAAACAAAAGAAACATGGCGCCGCGCTACATAAAGTAAAAGTTGACGTCGGTTGGAAAATATGGCTTTTATCTTTATTTTTAAATGGAATAGCAACTACCTTAAACAAGACTAACAAAAATTACATAGTTGAGTGGAATTTTCAAGCTGTTAGCGTTGTATAATATATGTGATATAACAATTAGCGGACACTCAATTTTGACAATATGAAACATAACTCAAAAAACGTTCTTCGGTGCCGGTCCCGTGTCGCAATTTGCAAGCTTCAAGCGAGGTGAGCAAGTTTGGACCACGCAAGGCTAACCGCAAATTTTTTTTGGCTACCTGCAAAAAAACTAAATATAAAGGCATGTAACAAAGCCAGGAAAACTTTGCCAGTGGAATGTTCGCTATATACAATTGTCTCGAAGATTTTTATGTAAATTATTAATAAGTGATAGCATGGTTTCTCGTGAAATTTGGATAAACATGCACTTTTCTTTGTAAAACTCACACGTGCATATTATATTCAAATTGCACTCGAAACCATGCTATTACCTATACTAACAAACATACTGTGAAATACAACGTCAACCACCCTATCAATACAGAGAGTAAACACGAATAATATCAATCTGTTTAAACTTGCAGCATCAAAACATAGAAAATTAACCCATTAAGCTGCAATGCGCCCAAATGTGCCAGATTTTAATCTTTAACTCAATTAACGAAAAATATTCATGCCATACAAGTTCAAAGATGCAGTCCAATGTAAAATAGTCTGATACAAATTAAACAAAAATACGTTTTGACAGCATATGTATATTTATTCTGTGTGCTTACAGAGAACTTCGGGGCTTTATAGCTAAAAACATTGTAAATTTTACTTCATTTTTCCGACTTGAAAGACAATTATTCGTTTTCGATTCGTATTTTAGTTAATATTGTCTTCATTTTTGATTCTCTGAATCTCGGCATCCCTGACACTTCAGCAGCCAATGAAATCGCGCGATTCACTAAGATGTTTAAACGCTGGTCATAAGTATTATATTTCCAAGAAATTCAGAGAGTCAAATATTACTTTTTCGTTCTCCTTTGTTAGCGTTCGATGTTTTATATATTTTTTATTATCAAACGTCTATTCGCCATTCTGTAACACAGTGTGTGAAATACTGAAACCGCAGGTGCAAATCAGGGTTAAGTAATTAAGTTGACTTTTATTTCCTCATACAGGCGATTCAGAAGTAGCAAAAATGATCATCGAATTATGGTACTCAATTCCACTAAGTGAGTCGACTTACAAGTATCTTACGAAAACGCTTCAAGAGCTTATCAACATCCACAGCTCAGACGATCTGAAGTCAGGAACGTCTGGATTGATTAACATCGAAGAAAAGCACCTAAAGGAGTTGCAAGGCGTTTGGGAAAGGTGGCTTAATTTGAACGTGCAAGGAACACATTGGATTCTAAGGCAACGAGTCGATATTTCGAGAAAATCCGAATCAAAATACAGATTTGATCCGACGTATATCGAAAATATTCCAAAACAACATGCAAGCACAGCAAAGAAGTGGTTAGAGGACGGTGACTTTCGTCGAACACATATGGAGCAGCCTGCATTTGCCGAGAATCCGACCTTGACTGGATATTCAGGAATCTCAGTTGACGGCCCATATTCTTATGCTGTTCCATGGGACGGTCTTCCATTCTTTGGATGGGATTACGTGCAGGTGAAGAAATTCAAGAATTGCAGTTGCATTGTCACGATGTTTGGTGATTATGTGGAGTACATACTAAGAAGATTCAAGAACACGTTGTCAAAACAGCAGATCAGTTTTCAGGTTGCATTGTGTGATTGCACGGACATTAAACAACATTTAGAAATGAACACATTGTATGATCGAATTTTAACATCAAATTTGATGGATTATATCATTCTTCCAGTTATACTGAAGCTGTGCTCCGAGATGTTGAACCACAGCAACACTTGTGCAACGATTATTACAGAAACACTGACTTAATTGGGCTGGGGACTTTGGCCAACCCATTAACTCGTCACCATACGAATTGACGAATATTGCTGAAGCAGATGTACAGCGATACCCAGACTTCCAGAACGACCATCCGAAGCCTAGTTTCCTGGAATATGTTGAGGACTCTTGGGATTTCTACAATTACCTTAGAGCACTATTTTACGCATATCTGATGAAAAAAAGAACGGTAGCAGAAGACTCCAGACAACTTAAAGTTCCTATTAGAAAGGAATTGGGGAAAAAATTCAAGTTGCGTCTCCGTGATTGCTTACGAAACGAAAACAAAATTGTTTTCTTTAGGATGGCAGCCAATAGGCGAACTGTGAGCTCTGTTGAGGGTGATGAGCGCTTCTTAGAGTGGATACCGTTGCATGAGGAATAAATTGCTAACGTTGATAATTAAAGAGTACTTATTAGCTCCGACTTCAATAATTACTGTACTAGAAACTTCATTTATATAAATGACACAAAACCAAAACTTTAATTCAATGATTTACTAAAAAGAAACTAGAAGAGAAGAAAGCAAGATAATGGTGACACTCACAGTACATTGTAATTTATGATTTAGATCCTTATTTTAGAACAATAATGAGTATCTTATGTTTATAAAACAACATTAAAAGAGTTTGAATTTTTTCACTAAGGTTACAGAACATTTTTAAAGAGAAAGCATTTAATGAAACAAATATTGAAAGTCGTCGAGGCATTTTCGAATTAAATTAGTTAAAAGCCACAGCAGCTGCAGTTAGGTATAGCTGTGGTGATAAAATTGAAACACTTTAGATGTTTAAATAAGTAAGAAACTGTTTGTCTTTTAGCAAGTAATTAAATTACTAATAGTAAGTAGTGTTGACTCTCATAATTAGTTTTAATTACAAAATCGATTTGTTGATATCGATTGTCTACCGTTTTTGTTGATATCGTTGCCACCCAATGCTATAATGTTCTAGCCTACCAGAGGGTAGCATTAGAACAAAGGTAACTAAACATGTACAATTAGCATTTCTCATGCCGCCATTTTTGGGGTGCTGCCTTTTCTAAATCTGAAATTGTATGAATAAGGGATTCGCATAACTATAATGGGCCAATTGCGGAATTGCTAAGCATCATGGTAGTTTAGTTACACAGCAGAATTTTTCAACATGGCGCTTATACTTTTCGAACGAGAGAAGGTGCTAAACACATGAGAATTGCAAGAAAACTTTTATCATTTTCGCTTTGACTAAAGTTTTGACTAAATCTGTACGGCTTGTTTCATATTTCTACTGGGTCTTGGGCTGCTACGAGCGAGTGTGGTTGAAATATTCAACATGGCGTGCAAAGTCACTGAAGCGGGGGAAGGAGTCGATTCGTTGTAGTCAGGAACAAATTTTTGAATATTTCACAACATGAAGGTGAGCACTGCATTAAATTATTTTCGAGGTAAGGAACACGTTGTAACCTATTATTTGCCTAAGAATTTTAACGATCGGTTTAATTCTAGCGACTCGAAAGACAAAAATGTTTGCACACTTGACCATCCCAAAACAACAGATGTTTGATCAAACGTTCGTTTCACAACCACAAAACATTGAGGTTGTTTGGCGCGAAAAATCAAAACAGTTACTGTTTGAAATACCGAGCTTTCACATTTCAAAGGTTTTCAAAGATTTAAAAAGTACTTTTAGGTACTATTCACTGCTGTTCAAGTGTCCTATAGTAATTGGAGTTTTTTAACTCACTACAACATTTACGCGAGTCAAATTTGAAGCAACCTCGCTTGTTTCGAGTGTATTTTGGAAAGTTTCGAGCCGTTTGGTTTGCTGTTGGAAAATATGGAGTGAAGAATACAGTGGACAAGAAACCTCAGTGGTATTTACCCATGCATGCATTATTGAAGGAACATTTGATAACTGACTATGCAAGTAAACTCGGACCATGCAAATGCTCACAAGCATATATAAAGATATGGCTATCAACTGTTCCAAAATAAAATGGTTACCCAGGTTGTAGTCACGGCTAATGTTTTGAAAGGCACAGAAAGGTTTTTCCTGTTTAAACGTGTTGTGCATGCCTCCATAAAAAAGGCACACTATGGAGTCTATGGTTAAATATGACACTGGTTAAATATCTTGTGCAAGTTGCACTTGTACAGGTAGTTGCTGTAAACATGTAGCTGCCCTGCTATTTCAAATGTTGGACTATATCCAACTTGGATTATTAAACTGAAGTCCCAGATAATTTAACATGTACACTGACAGTCACTGAACTTCCTAATGAGAAACTTGATACTGCAGTGCTTTTTGACCAAGTAAAAATAAGCTAGGCAACTTTCAAGACAGAAAAAACATTACACAGCAAACTACAACAACCCAGCACCTACTTTTGCTAAACATGTAAATGTTGAAGACTTAAGAACACTTGAAGACCGGTTTGAAAACTGTTGGCACTTGTGATTATTTGCATGGCATTTTAGTATCCAATAATTGTGAACCTTTCCAATATCAAGAGTTTGTTGAGGAATTGCATGCCTTCAAAAAAGGCATTCAATCATGCAAGCCTATTTGCAAATCAAACGTACAACATCAAAATTCGAACATCTATACTCACTGGAACAAATTACTGTTCCTAGCAGCAGTGTGCAAACATTTGCCTTTGCAGCAGTGTGCATTAAACATTTGCCTTCTCTGGAGTATGTATACCAGATACTCGAAACACTCTTTTTACACCCAAAGAACAAATGGTTGACATTGAATGCAATACAAGAGGTCAGTCACAGAGCAAACTTTGGTTTCATGAACGACGAGGTTGTCTACTGTAACTGCCTTACATTTCGGTACAGCAATGAAAGAAAGAGAAAATGTTTTCCTCACATCACTTCTTAGCAAAATCCTTTTGCCAGGTTATTTGTTAACACAGAACCTCCATGGCTTGGTGCAATCCAGACTGCTTGTCTGCTTGTTATATAATTATGCAGAGCCAATATCATTTGGGATAGGTGAGGTGCCCATTTTCAAAAATGCAGACTGACTTCTAAATGTTGGCATTTCAATTTGTTGTTCAGTCTGTACAATCAATAATTACACGGGTATTTGGATAGGTTTTTTGATTTGAAAGGCTGTGGCATAGTTTGTTGTATACTGTATAATCATGTGATGCCCAGATGGGTAGGGTTCCTAACTCGTGATAGAGAAACTCTAACCAAGTAGCCCATATACAGGAAACATGTGCTGTGAAATGCCAATTCGGTGGGCAATATGTCAACCCAAATAAGACCACAACGTAGGCGACATTGATCTTTTTCGCCCCAGCTTTTTTATTCTGCTGACTATTCTACATTGTTACTCGAGCCAGCATAAGTTAAGAAATTACATGCTGGTTGCATAATTTTGAAAACCTGTATAGAATTTAAAATTTGTGTCACTGGCAAGTACATGTTCTATTCGCAGTATACACTGTTCGTATTTAGATGATAACTCATAATATTTTCTTTGTAAAGCTGCATGTTCAGTTTTTAATCTTTTATTGGTTGACACTTGTGTATCAATGCTAGTCGTTTGTTTCTCAGACTGGGTTGTTCAGTCTCACTAGCTGTCTATAATAATTTATGTTCCCTGCCTTGGCTACTGTTTACAGTTTGTCTACATGATATTTTAACGACAGTTGGCAATGCACTAAAAGATTTCTGAGTGTAAGGAACACACTTTGAGGCTTTTTATAAAAGGTTTACTTTGTATTCTCAATATAGCCCATACAGTATTTCTCACAGGAAATTTATGGAAGGATAATTCCGAATTCTTTTAAACACTGTCGCTTCGACAAAATGGCACACAACAGGTGGTTCCCCTGCACATTTTACCTTTAGGCACTTTTTCCGTGTCACTTGCCATATTTATCCAAACAAACAGCAAACCAAACGGCTCGAAACTTTCCAAAATATACTCGAAACAAGCAAGGTTGCGTCGAAAAAGTTTTCTTGCAATTCTCATGTGTTTAGCACCTTCTCTCGTTCGAAATGTATAAGCGCCATGTTGAAAAATTCTGCTGTGTAACTAAACTACCATGATGCTTAGCAATTCCGCAATTGGCCCATTGTGAGTATATATAATCATTATAAGTTAATTTACAGTAAAATATTGGGAAAAAATATTTTCACATCGCTTAAATTTTTCACGTCGTTTTCAAAAAAGTACCCCCAAAATGGCGAATTTGGCCTTCGTGAGAAAGGCTAATTATGTATAATGTCATGCACTTAGACTGTATGAATAATGACGTCACAAGGCATGATGCGCGCGCACGGAGAATTCTGGTCTTATTAGTCACGGCGGGAAAACAATCCAACATCGCCACTGTTTAGCTGAGTGTGCTGCTGTTCTTTGTCGTCTTTTAGAGGCCGTTCAAGCTAATGACGACACTAGTTCATTTCAGAACTCTCGCACGGGTCTTCAGAGGTTTGACTGTCCTGAAATTAGTAACGGCAACAGACAGCTATGTTCTTTGCATTTTCCAGGAGGACGTGAAACCTGCATGAACCAGCTGCAATATTTGAATGTTCCAAAGCCTACACCAACGAATTATCGACTAACAATAACAGGACTCCTTTTTATATAACAGAATATAGTTCGGGATTTCTAATATTGTTGGTAAAGTAACCAGAAAGACAACACGTAAAACGACGTGCACCACTTCTTTTGCTCGTCCTGGTCGATGAAAGCGCGGACTGTCGCCGTTACTTCCGGGCCGCCAAATCTCTGAAGACCCGTACAAGAGTGCCGAAATGAACTAGGGTCTTCAATGGCTTGAACAGCTTTTAAAATACGACAAAGAACAGGAACACATTCACCTATACGACAGTGGCCATGTTGGATTGTTTTGCCGCCGTGACTACTAAGACCAGAATTCCCCGCGCGCATTACGCCTTGTGACGCATAATGATGCATGACAATCTCGTTCCCAGAGCTTGCGATACTCGGGAACGTAAGGCTCTGGGATAATCTGTTTCAGGGAGAAATCTGATTGGCCGTTGAAATGGAATGCGCAGTTCAATCTTAGCCAGGATTCCTGGCTTCCGGCAACGGATTATCCCAGAGCCCCACGTTCCTTCCCAAGGATCGCAGGCTCGGGAACGAGCTTGGATCCATAAGGTCTATTCAAATATGTGCATACATTTTTACACAGTTCTATGTTTGCATAAACTGGAATTATAGTAACTAGGCATGTGAGTTATAAACTGGATGTGAACAGACGGTAGCAGATTTTGTCTATAGTTAACAATATATTAAAAGAGCAAGAAAAGGCAAATGATACCGGGTGTCCCAAAAAAAAGTACTCCTGTTTGATTCGTAATAACTTCTAAACAAGTAAACCTTTTAAACAGAAATAACTTGCATCAAATAGAGGAAGGACTAACTTAGATTTTGATATATTACAGTTGTATTTCACTTAAAAATTCACGGAGATATTAATGTTTGAAATCGGGAGCATATTTCTGGATGTGTCTGAAATATGCAAAAAACGGCGTATCAAATATTAATCAAGATTTGCCCGACTGAAACATTCACGATTACCAGTAAATAAATGAAACTTGACAAATTGTTTATCATGAAACAAAGTCTGTATTATTATCTACAAAATACAAGCAATATTTATTCGTCCAAAATCTGTGTGTGTTCCTAGCACGAATACGTTTCCTTATTTCATGAGACCACTGCATCGCGAAGGATCGTCATGGATCGTCCGTAGTTCTGAATTAGGGCATGCTGTCACAATGGAATTGTGAAGCTCTTCTAACTTCTGCAATGTTCTGAAATCTTGTTAAGAACACTCAAACTCATTTGCCGTTTCTTAATATTTTTAAGTTCACAATAAACTGAGAATGAAACACAATCAAACCATACAACTCCATAAGACATAACAATTAAGCATGCAACTCCCTGGAGACATTCAACATTTTTGGAACAAAACGTATAACAAAATAGTAGCGTTGATACTGTGATGTGTATTTGCAAAAAGCAATATTATTTCCTTCATTGCAGAATAATATTTATCCTGCTCTAACCGAGAAATAATCAAATCTGTTTTGAACCCACGAAAAACATAAAAAAATTAGGCTAAGAAAAATTTAAGCGCCTGCCTTGCATGGTCTTTCATGTACCTTATAAATTTGTAAAGTTTGTAAAGACTTATTAAATACTTGCATAATTTCGTACGTTCATATTTCAGGAAACAATGAGCTAAGACTTAGCTTACATGTAAGAAGTCTAAATCTACGCCATATCCCTTACAAACCCTAACGACAATTCGATGAAATACAAGTTAGCCTGATATGTCATCAAGCAAACAAACGCTGAAGCCGATTTTCGCTAATTTTAGACACATCCCAAAATATGCTCCCGATTTTGAACATTAATATATCCGTGAATTTTTAAGTAAAATACAACTGTAATATATCAAAATCTAAGTTAGTCCTTCCTCTATTTAATGCAAGTTATTTCTGTTTGATAGCTTTACTTGTTTAGAAGTTATTATACATCAAACCGGAGTACTTTTTTTTGGGACACCCGGTAGTTCAATTATAAATTTCAATCATACATATTCCAAATTATGATTGTATATATGTATTATACATATATACAATCATAATTTGGCAAGTCTGTTGATACCTGCTTGGCACATATTTAAATTAATTAAGTGCATGCAAATGAATCCATCTTCGTTTTAATTTATATTTTATAAGAAAAAGACGTGTAGAAGAAATTTAAAGGGTTCAATAGTCTCCGTGCACGTGACGAAATGCGTGTCTTTTATTGGTGTAATTTCACATGAACTGCGGATTTTGAGTTTCAAATCCGCGATAGCTCCATATATTAGTCACATTAACAGCAGCAAAGCGTCAAATTTGGATTTTTTAAAAAATTTGTTGCAATTCTGCATGATCAAAGGGACATTAATGGCTTTCGACACTTTCCCCATAAATTATCTAACATAATATTGGAAATTATGCGGTTCAGTTCCACGAATCGTTCTTCCTGGAATTCTGAAATGCCGGTGTGATTTTTGTCGCTGACGTGGCGGTTACTAGGGCTTGAAAATACTTTCGTTTACCATGTATCAGTATACGGAAGTCTATAAACATCCACATTCTCAGTATTAAAATGCCTAGATTTTCCGAGTGTTGGCGTTGTGGAAATACGATTGGCGTTGGCATTATTTGTAACTTGTGCGAAGTTGCCAAATATTGCAGTGAAAAATGTAAAAAAAATGACATTTTTCGACACGAAGCCGAATGCATTCCAGCGTCGATCCTCAAGACATGCAAGACGTGTAGAAAAAGTGGTCCAAATCTGAAAGCTTGCACTGGATGCTATCGAGCTTTCTACTGTGACGCAAAATGCCAGAAAAGCAATTGGGAAAGGCACAAGATCGATTGTCTGGACGTTAAGAAGAGGATGGAAGAGATTACCCAACTTACTTTGGCACATTACGATATACTCTCGGAGAAAACATCGTATTGCTCGTATTATTATTGGGGCAATGTGCCGGCATTTGATTGCCTTAATTTAGTCGAAAACGAAGGCGTAGACGGATCGGCGTTCAAAGTTCTAGTTCTCGGTGTTGGTGATTTACGAAACGTGGCGTTGACGTGCGCATCGTTGCCAGATTCATACAGCAGCAAGGTTTTGTTTACTTTGAATGATAAAGAAAGTTGTGTGTTGGCCAGACTGGTACTGCTGCTTTACATGTTGATAAAAGGTGAGTTTACCTTCATATCATTCATACCAGCCTATTAAAAACATAGGTTGTATAGGCATTTGGAACCTTTACCATGCCAGGGAACCAGTAATACAAACGGCGGTTTGTACGAAAACCGGATAACAACTTTTTCAAGCTTCCTTAAATTGGCCGTTGACTGATATAACGCACATTAAACTTTAGTGCATAAAAATTCAAGTGGCCTTTTATTAATTGTAAGGACTTTTGCAATGGTTCAAAAAATCATTGTCTGGTGGATAGCGCTATCCAGCAATTGCTACAGAAACTTTCTTGTGTTCTTACCTATTTTCTTATTTGTGCCTCGAATTATGTACTAACTAGAATTAGTATAAATTTCCAGGTGACTATTGATTTTTCTGCATTCTGATTGGTCAAGATTCACTGTCTCTGAAGTGATAGTCACTGACCAGTGACTATAGCTTTTTTTTCAAAATGGCTGCTCGTTTTGCCGTAGTAACTGAGGAGGAAATTGCCAAAATTAAGGAAGATAGCATTCCGAAAAAAAAAAAACAAGCTACAAAATATGGTTTAAAAATATTTCAAGGTAAAATATTAAACTTTACGTGCTTTTATTTGGAAAAAAACTGGCTTAGTCGCAACGCGACACAGAGCCGTGTCTGAGATTTAAATTTTGTAAACAAACTATTTATAGTCAAAATAAATTTATTTGAAGTGAATTTTTATAAAGTTGTGTGGATTATTGTTTGTAAACACCTGGAAATTTATACTAAAACAATTAGTCGCCTCAGGCTCGGTGATTACAAGCCTATATTCACTTCGCCTTCGGCTCAGTGAATATAGGCTTGTAATCACCTCGCCTTCGGTGACTAATTGTCAAATAGTATTACATGCATGCATGCAGCAAACCCCTTGCCCGACTATAACTGATCAACTTGGGAAATTGACCTTTTCAGTACATTTCCAATATGGGAACCAACTGATATTGTCTAATAAATTACGGCCCCCATGTGATTTCCACGTAACAGCCTATGCCACCTACCCTGGATCAGGGGGTTTCCTGTTTCGTTGAAGCTGTAGCCTGCACTCAGGCGGTGCTGGCCAAATTGGAAACCCTCTGGGCGCGATGTGTTGATTGATTGAGTTCGCCGAACCAATCAGATGCCTATAGGGTCAGATTTTGACCCTATAGACATCTGATTGGTTTATCGGGCCTTATCGGCAAACATCAATAAACGTTTGCTGTATTCTATTCTATTTATACTATTCGACAAGTGAGTGCATTTTGCTAACAAAAAGCGATTGCTCGTGGAAACGTTTATGAGGAGAATTTGTTGGTTGTCGTCTCAGATGAAGTTCATGTTATTCCTAAACAGTTAGATCAAGTAGCGTCATTCTGTATATACGTCGAGTAATTGAGTGGAATTTTGTCGTGTGTATGTGGTCGTGTTTTGCTGTAGTACAGCCTGTACTGTATGCTGTACTGAGAATGTTCAATTGTTTTTCATGTAGTTTGTTGTTTTAAAATTGTGTAGCCCGTATTGTGGAATTCATGAATATTTATGAACAAAAATTCAGTCGTGGCAAGGCATTTGGGTTAAATATATTATATATTTTATATGTAAATATACACAATGTAAAGTCCGAAACAGATATAGAACGTTCTGTATCATCAAACCTGAAAGTAATAATTCAATAACTGTCATTACTTTATATTTCACATGCAAGTGTTAAAATATGTACTCGATTGTTGCTTGTATTTTGAATTTGTAACTTGAAACTGCTTAGAATAGACAGATTTGCCGATTGTCAATTTGTCATCAGTATAAATTTGGAGACACGTTGTGTCCAAAATAGACAGCCGATGCGCCAGTTTATTGGAAATCTTCCCAGAGAAAATATTACGTTTTTCTCTTCCGAATACAACAATTAATGTAACATTGGCAAACACAACAATATTGGTTAGGGGAATATGTTTTTGTTGAATACTTTTGAATATGCCTACGTACTGGACTACACTCTTCAGACCGGAAGTGTGAAACATTAATAAATTACGTCATGGAAATGAAATTCGACAGGTCGCGCCCAGAGGTTTTCTCCGCCTCGTCGCCTCCAGAAAACCTCTGAACCCAGGGTATATGCCACCCGGACCAACAAAATAAGTGGGTGGCTTTCCCCGTCTTCACCCACTGTTGGATGATGACAAACAAATGTTCTCATTAATCTATTCACAATACATGTACTGCATGCACTACAAAATGGTCACTGCACACAATGAATGATGAAAAATTGATCACAATAATAATACTAAAAATCGCTTTCAATTGGTAAATATCAGTGGTAAATACACAATACCAACTAGCCTGCGTGGCAGGCGGTCAAAGGATTTTGAGTTCCGCCCACCTAACGTGTTACCCCACCTAACGTGTTACCCCATAGTGATGTCAATTTTATGATTATTTTCGAAATATGGCAAAAGCTGCACACGCATACGCGCAAGGAAAAATTTAGCGATATACGTAT